TCTCGGGTATTTCCTTACTACCATTTTGTAGTTGCATGTTCATTACGATTAACTAGCTGCTAGTAATGAAAGATAGCCATTTATAAAGGGCACTGAGATTCAGTTGCATGGTTTGACAGCTCTGCCTATGTCTCAAATGCTTTTAAATTTTCAGTGTTTTGATTTTCCAAGTCTTCCTACATTCAGTCGTTATCTTTGGTTGATATGGTTGTAGATATACACCGCTCAGTACGAAGGAGTTTATGGAATCATTTGCGAAGCAGACCATTGAATCATGTGAGTACTTCGCTCGAACCTTGTAATTGTTCATTGAGCCTCAACTCGCTATGCCTTCTTCCCTTGATCTGTAATGTCAGGATGTGCACGTTATTGAAACTTGAACTCATTATGATCAATGTCAGTATCAACATACTCATCTTTCTTTTTTGGGGTGTGCACTAAGTGAATCGATGAAGTTTTAGATTATAGAATTAACTTAGATGGAAATGTGAAACAACGCTATATTGAATGATGACGGAGTGGGCTGACCAAGCATTAACATAGCACAAAATATTTGAAAACTTATGCTTATATGATTTTAAATTTTTGTGGTGGGGCCATGCAGCTCTAATGGTTGAGTGCCTTCAACCACCTTACTCCCCCCCCCCCCTAAAAAAAAAAGTGCCAACCAAATTTGTTTCCTTATTCCCAAAAATAAATGATTAATCCTTTTTCTGCTTTATGATTGTTTTCCTTTCCATTCTTAAAAATCGACTGTGTGTAAGTTAAAACAAAATAATGGATTATGACTGAATCAGTTTTAGTGTTTGTTTGCGATATTCTCTAAGTTTTTCATACGTGTTTTTCACATTTGATCGTACTTCTTTCATTTATTTGTGAATCGCTGATTCCCTTACCCAAAAAATCTTCTTCAAAGCTGATCTAGTTGCTATTAGTTACCCTATATTCATAATTTTATCAATTCCAGGGTTGCTTGCTGAAGGATCTGACTCTGTAGCAGAAGCAGAAAGTGCTGTATTACAAAGTTTAAGTAGGTACTATATGTCAATGATTTTTTATTTTGTGTTTTCTTTTGGGGATATGGTGGGGGCTGGAGGGTGTTGAAAAAATTGAGTATCCTTTAATGGGCGTTGTTGGTGGTCTTACAGTCATGTTCGGGCGGTAGTTGCAACATTAGGAGGGCAGCACGGAGCAGCAGGAAGGGCTGATAAATGGCGTCATCTTTATGCGGGTTTCACTGTCTGGGTGTCCCAAACTGAAGCTACAGGTAACTTGTCTTTGATCCTTTCTTTCATTACTTTTCTTTGGACTAGATACTCATCTACGATCAGTGTCTATCATGCTTAATACAATTGGTTATAGGTTGTTCTCTAGTATCATTAGGAACCTCTGTAGGCTGATTAGAATTGTTAATAAAGTTGATAGATATTGTTTATTTACCATTGTTCCCAATAGATTCTTACAACCGGAAAATAAAATAAAAAGCATGTGCTGCTGGAACTGAAAACCAAAGCACAAGTGATTGTAACTGATAAAACAAAATTCACAGTTCAACAGAATGTGGATCAACAACTATTTCATATGTAAGCCTTCCCATTGACATGCGAGACTACACAAAATTGGGAGGTTATCGTTGCATGAATTTGAAGTCAGGATCTGCTATAGTATGGTAATAAATTTTGCAGTTTGCCATTTTTGAAAAAAGTTCAAGTCATCGTTGAGCACAATTGAAGCACCTTTTTGTTGCAGACTTCACTGCAAGTCTATGGATCTTTAAATTTTGATCATTTTGATTTAGATTTAGAAATCTTTCTATCTCGTTGCAAGTCATTTATGTTTACTTGATAATTGTAGTAGCTTGGATCTATGTCATAGGGTTTTTAATCAAGATTGCAGATTGATTGTTAGTCAGGAGGTGTGAGCCTCAACTATAGAATTGAATAAGCATTACACTCTAATGTTTAAAATTTAAATTTTTTGGTCGGGTTTTTATAAAAAATGGTCCTGGGGCAACTCATTACTTCGTCCCTCATGTATTCATAAAGTATAAACCAATGAAGTGATCGGGGTGGGGGTGGGGGTGGGGTTTGTTTGTTTTTGTAGGGTTGGGGGTGTGGGGGTCATGGCTGGGGAACAAAGATATGGGGTGAGGTGGGGGTCGGAAGTGACTGGAGGGGATTGGGAGAGGCTGGGTCCATTCAGATAGTTGTAGAAACAGCCACTATTGATCGGATACTGATGGATGAGAAACCTTGGCCTGGGTGTATCAGGATGAGGTTACATATTCATACATGTAGCCACTTCACTATAAATAAGCATTCATTCTCTCCCATGGATAGCTCTAGCCGTTGGTACCATGAAACAATCTTTAACAAGGAATGATAAGATGCTGCAATGAATTTAGGTGCCTATGGATCACACGGGCATTCTGAATGTTGTGAGTGTATAATATGCATCTTTTTTTTTATTTTTTTTGTTCTTTTTGTGTATAACAAGACCACAGTGTATGTTAGCTCTTCTTATGTCAAATCCTCTTATGCTACCATGTCCATAACCAATCCATCCAGTTATATAATTTCTGCAAGCTAGTGTTTCTGATTTACTTTGCATTTCTCTAGGACTATTTGATACATTTCCAACTGTTCATAGAGCTGGGTATTCAAGATAGTCATTATTGTGTTTAAGTTCTTTTTAACATCCTGTAGCAACGTAATATATGAGAAGTAATTGATTCTGTTTTAGAGTTCTACATATGACATTTGGAGGATGAGCCCTGCCCCCACCATGTAGGTCTGCGTGTTCTAGATTGTAAACTAGTGATGTGTTATCATTGGTCATATCTGCATCGTTAGTCCATATCTTCTGAAATCATTATTTTGTGATTATACTTAATTTGCATGTTTCTTCTCTATGCAGATGAAGATTCAGCAAAGGAAGAGGCTAGGAGTCATATTAAAGATGGCAGACTAGCTTACTCAAACGCCGATGTTGTTGTCAAACTACAAGGTTGGGATGCAGTTCATGCTAAAAGTGTGGCTCAGGGATGCTTGAGTGCCCTTAAACAATTAATTCTATCGGACAAGAAACTTCCAAGTAAGTGTGTAATAATGTTTATACTTGTGACTTTAATCTTGTTGTAGATGGCATAGCGAGTGATCCTTTCTCTTCTATTGTTCTGCTTCTTTTCAGACGGTTGGCATATGGTAAAAGTCGATTAAATCGTAAGACTTGGAAAGTAAATACTCCAACTTGAAGCAGTTTACGCAATTGCTGCTAACAAATGCTAAGACTAGTATTAATTGAACGAAACCCAAAAACCATTGTCATGCTTCATTTCCTCAACGAGAAAACAAGCCACAGCTAAATCTATCCCTCTTGTACAACATCTTGAACGGAGATGCTAATGTAACAGAATAACAGTAGCTTGGCACCTCCACCCCTTATGGTAAATAAATTCCGAGACATGGAAAGTACATACTTCAACTTGAACCACCAATTTCTGTTCTAACAAAACCTATTGTTTTGAAGAGCGTGTAACATTGTAGTCTGTAGTAGTGCTGCATCATTTATGTTGACGACCATATAAAAGATTGTGAAAACTCGAAAAGTTGGCTACTTTGAGAGTTGGTATTGCTTACTTTTACGTTTGAAACAATGCTAAAGAATGTAGAGGTATAATGCCTGTTACTTACAAGCCCTTTGTTCGTGGTTGCTTTTGAAGGTAAGAAGAGCCTCTACATAAGGTTGGGATGCCGTGGTGACTGGCCAAACATCAAGCCTCCTGGATGGGATCCGTCAGCTGGAGATGATGTTTCTCTCAATGGATTGTAACAATAATTGCTGCACTGCCTGTAAGATTGGAAGGCAATTCGGCTCCAACCTAGTCCAACACCATGCCAAATAGTCGGCTTGCAAGCAGAGGAACCTCCATCCAAATCACTTCTGAGATGTCAAACTCGAACCTTTGTAATCAAAGTAAATAATGGTTTTGACAAAATCGTCATTGGAGATGGCAAAGGTTCGCAGATATCCAATGTCGGTTCTGCTATTTTAAGCACGCAACATGCTAAATTCCCTCTTTCAAAACTGTTACATGTTCTTAATATTAGTCCATCAGTTTGTTCAAGATAACAATTTGGTGAACATAAGTGGAAGCAGCGGTGAATTAGCCGAAGGCCTCTACTAGAACCCTACTGGTATGACGTGTCCTTGTTGTATCACAACGTCGTTATCAATAGAATAAAATACATGTATTTCAATTTATATAACCAAGTTATCATTCAACTATTAATCTCGTATCCTATTATGATAAGACTCTTCATAATATTCACTACTGAAAGGTGCCTAAATGGAAGGAGTTGTAACAAGTATAATCAATGCAAATGTGACGAGTAAGTACATTAAGGGACACTGTCTATCCTTTTGCCTTCACCAACTTCTGTGCAAGATTACTAATTCCTTTCAATCTAGAAAATTCACTATGTAAACGCATGTTAAAAATATAATTTTTAAGTTCATCTTCAAGAAGTGTATGAGATCTTTAGATTAAAAGTCTCCTTATTTCATGTGCCTTACCTAGGATAGTATAAGGGTCAAAAAAAATTTTAAGGGGGAGATTTTAAACCAATTGAGGTCAGCAGCAGCCAATGCCCCCACTTTAGCTTCATTACTAGTCCCACGTCAACATGGTTAACAGTTTATTTTTACTAAAAAACCAAAAACATAGATTAAATTTTGAGTTTTAAAAACGTAAAGTGACGACTTTTTAATTTTAAAAAATAAACTGAAATTAAAATTAAATTTTAGAGGTGTAGTTAAAAATATGAAGTTTTAACGAAAAACTTACAGTACTGTTCACTTTAACAAAAAATCATATTTTAACACGAAAAAATCAATCTTAATACTATTCACTTTATCATTTATTTTACCATTATCGTTAAAATTCAAAATTTTCAAACCCTAGTTTTTATTTAAAACTAAGGCGTTTTTTCATCCTCGGTTCCAAAACTTTGGCTGCTCACATCACAGCAACAGGAAGTCGGGAAGCAGCTATAAGCCTGCGCTTTTATTTCCGGTTTGGAAAACGGAAGACGAACTTGTAATTTACAGCATACGTCCCTCCTCTGCGCTTCTATTTCACTGACGCCCACTCTCTAGGAGCTTCAGAACCAGGTATATGTCCCTCCTTTGCACTTCTCACTTCTTTGATTTCTAAGAGCCACAATACTTTTTTGTATCTTTGATTTTTACCTCTTAATTTTCTTAATATTTTGTTTTCCCCCAATCATTTGATTGTCTAATGGGTATCTGCTACTAGCTGGTATTGTAATAATGTTCTGAAATTAAGCGATAAACCCTAAAAACCTAAACCCTAAACCCTAAACCCTAAACGATATCAATAACAATTGCGGATTAGGATTGAGTTGTACTTTGCAATCTGACATGACCTCATGTTTTAGTTGCTAGCTTTCGAATTTTGAGCACACGCTTCCGCCAGGAATGGGGAAGCAGGATGGTAACTTGTGGGACGATTCCGCTCTTATCCATGCTTTTGACGATGCCATGTCCAGCTACAAGGTTTCACCTCTCTCTCTCTTTTACACGCGCTCGCAATGTCATTTCTGTATTTACTTAAATTTGGCTAAATGTGTAAGGCTTCGGTATTTTGAGCAGAGCACTTTAGCTTCAACTGCAGATTGTTTTCATTTTTTTGACTTTTGCTTTCTTCATTATTATTTGACACGGCTCAATTTGATACTGATATGTTGTTAAAGACCTCAAAATGGAGAATCATGGTCTAGCTTTTGGTTTTCTTCTCTTCTTCTTTTTTTGTGTCCTGACATTATATATCACCTTTTATGTAATTTCCAGAAAATTCATAGCAAGAAAACCAATGAGGGTTCAACCAAGGAAGAAAAGGTTGAGATCAGCACAGGAGAACCAGTCATTACTAAGGTTGACGAACATGACGAGGCTAAGAGGTGAGTTTATGACCTGGCAAAGCCTCTCTTTGATGAATTTTATAATTTTGATTGTTATTGAAAGAAGAAGAATAATGGCTTTATAAAGTGGTGTACTTATTCTTAGACCAATGAACTCTTACCTATTTTTTCGTATTTGATAAGCTGAGTATTTCTCCTGTATCTTTCATCTGCTCACTTTATCTTCCCTTATAGTTTGTTTATCAAAAACAATAAGAATAAGTATTGTAGTTTTACTGATTATAGTTTTGAACCTTTTCTTTTAGATTTTGACTTTTTTTTTTCTTCCCGGTCGAGAGGATTGAGTTGTTGAATTCAGATAATAACTATGAAAGATTGTGCATGGAAGTTGGTATCATAATCAAAAGATAGTGCTGTTGGAACTTCGAATCTGGCAGCTCTGTTGAATTCAGAGATATTGGGGTTTATGGGTTGTAGTCTGATTCGGTTTGTGCTACTTTTCTATTTGCCCTACGAATCCAAATTTGATCAACTTTGTGCCTGAATATACATTTTATTAAACGACTACTATGAAATAACAGCAACTTTACAGTAAAGTGGACAATTAACCCACCATGAGTAGAAGAGAAAACAACATTTATTCAACAAACTACACCTACCTTAAGAAACTAGAATTAAACATGCTTACAACTTATGGAATAATGAATAAAAAAGTAAAATCTACATAACCAACATTGCAGTACTCCTAGACTAAAGTTTGCAGCACCTCTGTTCACCTCTATCTTCCTTGTTCAAGTCCATCCCAAGGCCTAATTTCACCATTTCTTCAAAAATATTTGCAGTGTTTAAATTTTCAAGAATGCCATAGTAGTCACTCCTCTTTTTATGCATACAAATTTATGTTATATTTTCTGATTTCCGGTCAAGGAAAGTTATTGGCAATCTTTATAATGTGTTTCATTTTGATGTTTTGGTTTTTGTATACATGTAAACTTAACTCAAAAGAGCCGTTTATATTCTTGCATTTATTTTGGGGGTTATGTCTCATGTAATTTAATCAATATGGTGCATAAAAAAAAGAGGTCAAAATTAACAGAAGATGTTAGAAGTCAACTAATTATCACTCCTAGAATATCATGCAAAGAACTAACTAAGCATGAAAAACTATAGTTAATTCATAAGACGAAGGTCATTAGCAATGTATGGCTCAACTTACCTGATAATAATTTCTAGCATGGTACGAAAACCATAAATTTGTATCTGATAGTAGTTAACTAAGCAGGTGATGCAGTAACTGTTCAATTTATTTTCTTTGAATATATACAAATAAGTTTTCTATCATCTCTTGTGCTTTAAGAAGACAAGGGGATGCAGATGGCCATAGCAGTGATACATCAAAGACCACTGCAGAACTTGGAGAGACCACTAATCATTCAGAAGTGAAAGAAAATGATCGTGTAGATTTGCATGTACCAGAGCCCTACTTACAAGCTGCACAGGATGTGCAAAATGACTATTCATGTTCACAAGTTACAGAAGATTATAACCAGTTACTCAATCAGTATTATGAGGTTGAGGAGAAAAGACAGAAGCTTCTAGTTCAGCTTCAACAATTCGGTGGTTGGAACTACCAATATTCTGGTGAAGGTTCTGGTTCCATCGTACAAGGCTATACTGATTTTGGCTCTCAGCAGAATGCTGTCCCTACATGCCATCTTTCTAATCCAGCTGTTGTCTGTTCATGTTGTCCATACCTGTCTCAGTGCTTGATGACTCCATGCACTTCAGTTCCTTCTAGTTTACAGGGGGGATCATGTGCCGGTAAAACTTGTACTGATGCTTGTTTACAAACAAGCTTTGGGAGATCATTTTCTCTTGAAGATGATAGAATGGTCAAGACAGCAATGGGGACTGCAGAAAGAGCATTATCATCAATGAAAACGAGAATTTCTGGTGATTCTGACATAAGTGAAGGTAAGCATGGCTTCATAATAGATATATCTTCTGGAACATGGGTCATCTAAAGAAGTCGCCATGAAAGAAATAGTCTAATAGAATTTTCATTCATTAATACAAGTGAGGTAATAATTTTTTATTTACTTGGTTGCCTTGATTATAATCAACTATTTTGAAGGCCAGAGGCCCAACATTAAAACCTAATATTAGTTTCTAGTCTTAGTGTAGATATTTATCTGTTCTTTTTGGGTTACAATGCTGTTTTTCTTGTCTTTCTTAAATTAAAGAATGGAAATTTTTTATTTTTGAACCATTTGAAGAATGTGAGAAACCAACATGTGTTTTTTCTGTTTGTTCTTCTTCTTTCGTCTGTTTTGTCTGTTCTCTCTGTGTGCTTCTGTGAACCAATTTTATGTTGTTGATATTGATGTTACATTTTAAACACACGCAGAGACACACAAAACGTGAATATGCTTCTACAATATGGATATACCATATTTGAGTTCTGCATGTTATCGAAGTTTTATTGTTGAATGATTTTGCTAGGACAGTTGATTATGCATTAAACGGGTTCAGTTTTACTAATTGGCCGTGGCTTTAGAATTTGATTTTAATCTTACCATTGTCGACTCGTACAAAAGATCTATGAGTTCACAATCACTACACAATGAACCTTTGCTTGTTAAACTGAAGTATGTTATTTCATGTCCCGATGGCTGTATATTCATGTCCTTTTTTGACAAGTGGAAGGTTATCATATCTGATTTTACTTCTTTACATATGGTACAGATAAAAAGGATGAGAATAGGGAAGGGGAAGTGGCTGAAAGTACTAGCTCAGAGACAGATCTTACCGCTGTATTAAATGCATGGTATTCTGCAGGTTTCTATACTGGCAAGTATGTTATCACTTCCCTGCTTAAAATGATTTAAGTTCAAATTAGTTTTGCATCTTCATATGATGGATGGTTCTTCACTTTCCGCATTGTAATACTTTGTTGCCAACCTCTTATTATGTATGATTTGGTTACCAAACATATTGCTTTACGTGATTTCTATAGCATCTTTGACGTGATATTTTGGACTTTATCACGTTTCTATTTCTATCATGCATGAATTTCAGTGGGAACTGAGAACGGAACTTGGAAATATTGAATTTTATCTGGACTAGTGTTTATTACCTTTTTTGCATCTAACAGAGAGTTATGTTCACTGGACATATGCGTAACGCCAGGAATGTTATGTCACTCTTGAACTGCAAGACCGCTGTCAAATTTTCCTGCTTATAAATCACCTATGTATGCATTTGATTGTCGAGTGTCTTACGAAAGCCCTGCTAAGTAACTGAGTTTTCTGATGAATGTAGGTATCTCATGGGGCAATCAGTTGCAAAGAAGCGCCATGGTTAAGCATCCTCGCACAACATCGAGAACAAGTAAACTAGTTCTTGTTTTCTACAGGACCTGGAGTTAAATTCGACGTATGTTCTACTATAATCATAAACAAAAATAGTTTGCGTAGAAGTGTATTCTACGTACAACATGGATCTTTAATCGTTAATTGTATCATCATTTTGACGAAAAACCGTATTAACGGGACATTTGGAAATTGAGGCTTGTCTTCCATTCCGTTCCCTAACCGCTGCGATGCTCTGCTTCAAGCATAAAGAGTGTCAAGCAATTCCAAAATGTACATGGTAGTGTCGTAGTGAAAGCACTAATGTTTACCCTCGGATGAGGAAATTAAAAAGTGTCAAGCAATTCCAAAATCATGAAATTTTATTTTTTATACGTTTGTGAATATTATTGTTTGACTAACTTAAAAGTACAATGAAATTTATTGTGTACCTAGAGTCATTAATTCGTAACGAAGGGGTTGTTGAAAAATACGCAAGTGGTGCTGGTAGTGGCGGCTTCGGGGTGGTGGGCCGGTGGTGACGACAACACGGGTGTGAGTGGCAATGAGGGCATGAAAATGTTGTGGTGGTAAAGATGGTGGTGGAATTGTTGCGGCAATGGTGATCAAGTTCATGGGAAAGTTTTCAAGTCCTTTTCGTTAATTTTCCTAAGACTTTGGTGATGGTGTTGCGGTTGGTAGTGGGAGTGGTAGCTGTAGCAGTAGCCGTGATGGTAACAGTGATGGTGGTGACTAGAAAGGTTTAAAAATGTGTACCCAAAGTATGTGTATGAATTCAAACAAATTTATGCATGTCAACTTATAAATTCGAACTTTCGTCCAAATTTCAAATTTAGTTTTCTCGTCCAATAACGAGCCAGTGAAATTTATAAAAGAAAAGGTTTAGTAAAATAATAGTTTTTTTCTTCTAAGTAGTAGCCAATTCTAGATTATCCGATCGACCTAGACAATGTTCTTTTCTTGTGTTTTTTTTTGGTAAAAATGTTCTTTTCTTGTTTGATGCAAGTGATTACAGAAGACAAATGAAAAGTGGATTTGATATTCAAATGCAAGAAACGAATAGTATTCTTAACAAACTGAGCTAGAGTATCAACAGTTTCTAAAACTTGTAAATCAGATTAAAGTTTTTGGTGATTCTTTTTATGCAATGAGTTGGTTTACCTAGCAATTCAACCAACTTATCCAAAATCTTTCACATTTTGGTATTAAATAGTTTTGGTTGAGGTTTGAGGGAAGAGAGATTTGTTCCTTCTGATCAGTGATTAGAATTTAGAGAGAGAGAGAGAGAGAGAGGAGTCCCCGCCTTGAAAGCCGGGCAGACAACGACGGGACTGCCATGAATGCGCAGGACTATAAGAAGGTAAGGTCGCCATCACCTCTCTCTCATTCTCTCTCTCTCTCTCTTTCTCCTCCTCCCTGCCCGCTCTGCCCGATTTGCCCGTAACATGTGAGAGGACGAAGCTGCAGCATTCTGCCAAAACGACAGGCCGTTCAGCAGGAGCAACAGGAGAGTGAGAGGGTCAATCATAAAACAATGGATTGCTAAATGATTTTTTTGCCTCGACATCCGCGCCCCTCTGCACTCTGATTGGCTTGTAATCATGCACGGATAACCCGTGACACGTCACGTCCGCGGGGGCACGTGTGAAGGATTTCCAAAAGCATTTGTGGTCGTTTATAATTTTGTGCTTTTTGTTGTCCGTCTAAATAAATAGAAAAAGGTGGAAGAAAAATAAAATAATATTCTGCTGACCGGAAAAAAGAATGATACCTTCTTATTGGCTCCCGCGGGAATTTCGGCCTACAATTGGGTTGCAAACTTGTAAGGGTTTTGGGGTCCTCTCTCTCTTTTGATAGTTTCTTCTCATTTTCCTTTTTCTTGATTATTTTGTTTTTGTCTCAATTTGATTTGTAATGTCCATTCATGTGACAATCTACTTCTACCATTAATTCTTATCCTAAACCCTATACGCTCGCCCACAAAAAATGAATTTCAGTTGAGGGATCTAGAACGTACTTGTAGGGCCATCACCATATTGAAATTTAACGATCAAATGGTTTATCTTATTAGGTATTTCTTTAAAGAGTTTTTTCTACAAAAAAAATACCCAAATCAGAAACCTTATGACAGTTAGTTAAAAGATGGTTATTCAAGTGTTTCTTTAAAGCACTGTATCAGTCTATATTCTTTACCAAAATTTGATGTTTTAATGATTTTGAATTTGTCTAATTTATCATAAGATGATCTATGAATAATGAATTAAAATTTTGATAGTTTAGATCGTAGAAAATAGTTGAGTGAGTCTCACAAGTTGTCCCTGAAGGATCCTTCAATAGTAGAGAACTATATATATAGAAATTTCTTACTAAAATATTGACTTTGTGTATGAATTTATGAAAATCCACTAAAATGATCATATATGAGAGCATCTTCTTAGAATTTTTAGAAGAACTTCCGTTTTATTGTAGAAAAAAACGATATGATATATGGCCGCCCTAGAGACTATGTACTTTTGGTGTAGGACCCTCGTATTCTAGAACAAGAGTCATTGACACAAAAACATTAATTCTTTAAAAGAAATTAAAAAAAAAAAAATCATTGCTCAATAGACAATAATTCAACCACAACTTCCTTATCTATTTTCTTGTGCCTTGCTCTCAAAAGGTACGCCTTAAGTGAAGGCATTGGGAGTGACTTCCCCATATACTTCATCAGGCATCACCTTTTATTCATTACTTGTACATATATTGTGGGGTACATTATTTTTCACCCAATAAGAAAATGAAACGTGTACTGCAGATTATATAAGTTGCATAGACTTGACATATACTAACCCAAATCCTAAAAGGACATATCGATGTTCCTAAAATGGATGAGATATATCAAATTGAAGGGAGATCACAGCGTAATGCTCCAACAAAGACCAACGATCATCATTTTCGAGTGGAGCACTTTGTTTATGTCATTGATGAGCAACTTACGGAATTAGATAATCGCTGCGATGAGTTAAATACTAAGTTGATTATTTGTTTGTCATGTTTGAGTCTAGATGATTCGTTTGTAGTGTTTGACAAATAGAAGCTACTTTGTCTTGCTCAAGTTATTTTTCAAAAAAAAAAAAAAATTCTCAAATATTGCATGGGATTATTAGTCTTGCAAAGATAATGGTGGAGAAAGAAAAGGTTCATCTATCAATTTATCGTGTGTATTTGCTTATTGTATTGACTTTAATATTTACTAGTTGCAACTGATTTAATGAAGAAAACATTTTTCGCCATGAATATTATTAAGAGCTCGTGCCTTAACACAATATAAGAGATCAATGGATCACTGACAGGTTAATTATTTAGCTTGAGATCAACCTTGTGTCTTTTTTTGTTCATTGTTTTGCACATCAACTTTGACTAGATCTTGTTGTCATATCAAAGATAATATGCAGAAATTTCACTTTTTCCTCTTTGACTAATAATGTAGTTAATATTGTTGGAGTATCACGTAAGCGTAAGTCATGATACATTTGGAAAATGATTTACTACCAATTGAATGAGGCTTAAATCATGAAACTAGTCTCAAATGTGCTAGTGATACACGTTAAAACTCACATTATGGCAGAATGCTTAGTTTGATTTCCACGTTCTTATCTATTGTGAATGTATTGAAATGGTTACAGATGATCACCACAACGATACTGTAAGTGAAGCACGTTATTGTTACAAATACAAACTTTTTGATTTTGTGTTTTACATATTTTTTGAGAGATCGGTCTTAGGAGTCGCAATTGGCACAAAGATTACAAAAGAAATATCAAGAGAGTGTGAGGCAATGAATTTAGTCAAAGCATAAGCAACAACTATGCTATATGAGGAATAGAAGGTTTGATATTTTGGTTGATCAAGCATCTTCTTTTTATTTCAAACATCATATATATTGAGGTTCTTAAATGGATGAGACATACATAAATGGAGGGAGGTCACGACGTAATGCTACAACAAAGACGTACCATCATCATTATAGTGTGGAGGGCTTTGTTTATGTCATCAATGAGCAAGTTGGGAAATTAGATGATCGCTTAATGAGTTAAATACTGAATTGCTTATTTGTTTGGCATGTTTTTGTTAGTAGCTTTTGACAAACAAAAACTTTGTCTTTCTCAAATTTTTCCTCAAATTTCTCGCATAAATCAAGCACTTGTAGATCAACTTGGGACATATATTCGATCAGTGATTTTTTTTCAATTGCATGAAATTATTAGTGTTGCGAAGACGATGGTGGAGAAAAGGGTGCATTTATCATTTAATCATGTGTATTTACTTATTACATTGACTTTGCTTTTACCGGTTGCCCGATTTCAACTGCAAAGTGAAAAATTCATTTTTCCGCATGATTATATACACACACACACACACACACACACAAGCGATACTACTACTTAATTTACACTTGGAAAGGGATTTGAATCTGAGACAAAGTGGGTTGAAGAGGAATGCCCTAACTGCCATGTCAGTCTAACTCTGCAACAAAATGTGAGATCAGTGATTGAGTGATAGCTTAATTGCTTAGATTGAAAAAGATGTTTTTGCTTGTATTGACTATAATGCTACATTTCCAGAATATGAAAACTCGTCGTGGACAATTATAGTTCTAATTAATATTATAGGGGACATCCCGAATTGGTGAGACCTTATCAACCAATGCTACCACAATAACAAGACTACACTTTTAGCACCCGTTGCAGATCTTCCTCAGTTGAAATACGAAACAAGGAGCAGATAATCTGAAATAACAGGAACCCTCATGAGAATAAATCTTGGCCTAGAGCAACCAAAGAAGGTTGAAGAATTTGGCATCATCTCATACTCACAGGAACACATGATGAGGTTAATGAGTAAAGAAAGTTGCAAGTCCATTGATTGAGACTTGCCTTTAGGTCCAGTTGAAGCTAATAAAGAACACAATTCTACAACATGTAGTAGATGTTTATCTTTGCTTCACAAATTTTAGTATGAAGTTTTTGACCGAAAAGAAATTTTTTGTATAACTTTGTATTCTCATTATTTGTTTCCCTTTGTCCGTAAAGTGTAAAGCATGTGATAGTACTGCTTTATTTCTTTCGTTCTTTTTTGGTAAATGATAGTGCTGCTCAATTCGAACCCAACGCTTTGGTAAAATTTAAAAAACAAAAATATATTTCATACATTATTATAAAATGCTCATTTGTGCCCAAAAGGTCACGAGTTCGAGTCGTGAAAATAACCTCTTAGCAAAGCAAGAGTATGGTTGCGTACGCTAAACATTATTTTCCTGACCCTTGCAACACGGAAAGACTTATTGGCTTGGGGTTGCTCTTTTAAATGTAAAATGCTCCATTGCAATTACCAAGGATCACCTGATACTTTTGGTTAAAGCGCTCTCTTTCTCTCTGATCAGTGCATAATCATACAAAAACCAATTAGTTTTCCATTGATTATATTTACGTACGAATAATATAATTGATTAGGATCTCAGAGATTGATAGGAAGGACATGCTTTTTTTCCACCCTTTCTCCTTTTGTTGCTTTCTTTTCTGTCTTTCTTGTCTCCTTGTCTTTCTTTAACTCTCCTTTTACTTTTCCTTTTCTTTTGTTTCTTTTCCTCTGATTTCTGAGAGCGGTACCCGATTCTTATCTCTCCCACGGCAGCCCCCATTCATCCACACACCAGAGGCTTAATATTTATATATATTGAATTTAACAACATAGAAATTGAATTTAAAAACATAGAAATTGAATTAGGTTTAATTTAATTTAATTATATCCCTATTCAATTTCAATGTGACCTGCCCAAAGTGAACTCCAAATTGGGTTTCCTGGGGGTTAGGCTTGTCCCTCCAGCTGAAATGGTTGTTGAGGAGCTGCTTATATCTGATATTTTCTCATAACTTAATCCTTTTGGATCTATCATGTTCGTGTCCTCCCTCTGCAACAAAATATTTATGCAAAATTATAAATAAATATACAAAAAAAGAATAAAAAGCCAAACAAAAGATATGTGTGAACTGGGAAGGCGGGAATCAAAGGACATTTGACTGCTCCCACTTGGAATAATTGAACACTAATTTATCAAAGGAAAGAGAAACTTTGAAAGAGTACAGTACAAAGTAGAAAGCCTGCACAAACTGAGCAACTCCCAAAACATTATTCTCTCTATAGCTATATAGCTCTTTACATTTTCATCAATTATCATATATATATTTGTTGGAAACTTCATGTGATAGCTTTTGACCATGTATTTTGCTATATATATAATTCATCTCGTGACAATAGCTAGTCTCCAATTTCATGCATGGTCAACCTATGGGGCTTGTGCGTCAAATGGGTTAGGTTTTCGGTCTAGGGCTAGGAGTTTATAAATATTGCGATGAATGAGAGGGTTTTCTGTAAATTTATATTAAATAAATGGGAGAAAAAGGCTTCACCTTTTACTTATTTATATATTTCCCTTTTTTCACTAGTGGAAGATTTACATGGAAAATATATATACTGAGAATAATGAACAAGGTTTTGCATATCACAAACGACATGTGAAATATGACAGAATTAACCCTTCAATTTTTAAGGGAACCAGCTTTTGAAAAGCGTATATATTATCCCTTTTATCCTCTAAATGTGTAATGTGCACGACTTGGTGGAAACAAGATGGAAACACAATTACCTTTAATTTTGTTCATTGATTCCATGACATGACATTTATATACATATATATAAATGATATATACATGAAAAGCGTAAAATATTGCAAGGTAAATCTTAATGTGCATAGTTTGGAAATAATGTACATAAATTCAAAAAGTATTGAATTGGTACCTCCTGATCATCGAGAGATGGTATAATATTTGCAGGTGCAGAATCCTTTGGGTTTGCATGCAACCAAGCTTCTCTGCTGCAAACCAACAGATTGAGAGAATATTATCTTTCAGTGGAAGCCATGCATGCAGATGAAAAAGCAAACTGAGAAAAAAGAAAGCAATCTTTTACTTGTGTCTTATTTATATACATCTTTCTCTCTCTCCGCTCGCACTTTAATCTTTACATTGTGCTGATTGAAATAAAGTTGAACTCCCACGTGACATCCATTCACTATTCAAATGAATGAATGTAGCTAACAATTCACGGACTACAAGAAACTTTCAAAGGGCTTACAGCTTTGGCACAAAGATTTCTGCTAGGGTTTAACTTTGGCCCTAAGTTTTCTAAAGTTTAGGCCCCTTTTGATCATATATGCATGTATATGTACGTCTCTCTCTCTATATATATACATACGTATACATAGCTCTATATTCAAGCCCCACAAAATCCAAAGGAAAGAGATATCTCCATCGATTTTTGATAGTCAAATGAGAGTCCCAAATCTTGGAGAAATTTGGAACATTAGCTAGAGGTTTCTTTGGGTCAAGATCACTCGAGTGTGGGTGCGTTTCTTTTTACTTTCTTTTCACCATGTACCCACAGCCCACTTGATGAAAGAGGTTATAATTACCCTATCATGATCTTAGATATGGAGTTTCTGTCAATTTTCTAGGATGTCTCTGTGGTGCACTGAGACTGACAAAAATGAAATCATCATCATTACTTATTCTTTTTGTGATTTCTTGCATGCAAGTATGAGCGCCATGCACGCATATTTAATTGATGTTTAAACAGTTACACAAGGCAACCTAGACAACAACAAACATAAATATACATTGAAATATTTGCTGCAATGTTTTTGTTTTATCCCTTAATTCTTCTTTCACTGACTCAAACCAAAGGCTAGAAATGAATTCATCATCAACAACCAAATAGTAAAGTAAATAAAAATAGAGAAGAGCGACATGCAAGTCCCTTTTGTTGGTCTCTGTGCAAAAAATCAATACTAATATGCAATTTAATTAGCGTTTAATTAGTGTGTTACCTTGAAGAATTGCTCCAGAGGCCGTAGTACTCCTTATTATCTTGAACAGTAATCGATCTTGATCCGTGCTGAGCTGATGGTAGCTGCTCACAAGACCTTCTTGGGTTCTGAAGTTCATACATTATGTCTTCAGTGGTGTCCCCAGATGAAGCATTTTCATATACATCACTTTGTCCTGTGCCACAGAATGATAAAATTAATTAATATTAAGAACCCCTTAAAATAAAACAAATATACCACAATATTATTTTCTAGAAAAAGTAGAGACGTTAACTATTAACCTGAAGAGGCCGCTGCTTTATCGGTGGTTTTCACCGTCCTGTACATCTGCAATATTTGGAATAAATATTAATAAAAAAATAATCATTTATGTTTAGCATAGGTAATACATCTTACACTTATAATTTGGGACGTAATTTGACCAAATGAAAAAACAGTACAAATACATACAGAAATAATTATATGGATGATGTTGCAAGATTCCATTGTTCATGTATGAATGTATGCATAATGCATATGAATATGTCGGTTAAATAACTATGGTTAGAGATGCAGGACAAGGTGTGGTTAGAATGGAACCCATGGATCTGATCTGATGAAGATATCATTGAGAAATGATGATGTTTGTGTACTTGTTTATTTGTTTCTTTTTCTTTATATATATTTGTTTAATAAATATATTATATATATAAATAAAAGAAACTATTATTAACAATTTTAAAAATTACATTCTATATTATTTATAAGTGTATTTTTTTTTTAATTATAAAAAATTTGAAGTACAAAATAAAAATTTTAAAATACTAATAATAATTTTCTAAATAAATACAAAAGATAGATTGATGGATGGAGTGTTTTGAGCTTGTCAGGATCGGCTTGGCTATACTATACAAGCTACGACGACTTATTTTTGAATTCCTTGGGCTTTGTCTTACTCAATTTCTGAAATCGATGCATGCATCTCACATCTCAGTTGTCAGTAGCATACTCTCTCTCTTTCCTTTTTTTTTTCATCTCTCTTTCTCCCTCTACGGAGGAGAGAGAGGCCAGAGAGAAGAGAGAGAGAGAGAGCATTGATTATTTATCTCACTAACTTGGGATGGATGGTTCATTCTTCCAAGCAAAAAGCTGTTCATTATGAGCTTACAGAAGAAGAAGAAGCAGAGCCATCAGATCTAATCTATCTATATAAAATCTATCGCAAATAGAAAGAAAAACAGTCTCTTCTGCACTGCACAGAAACAACGCCATTGGAGTTTGTCACACACACATATATAATAATTAACACATAGCTAGCACCTTCCTAATGTATAATATTAACTAACTAATGAAGTTTGTAAAAATCTTAAACTCGGAGAGGGAGAGAGAGAGAGAGAGAGAGAGAGAGAGAGAACTGCAATCTTCAAGTTAATTAAACGTAGTACAAAATTTCAAGAACTAAATTAATTAAAGATGGAAGCTAGAACAAAAGCCAAACATGCATGGCTGGCTAGCTATATACACAAATGCAGTCAAAGGTGTTCCTAAGCTCGCTATTGCACAAAATTACCAATACAAGTAGAAGTAGAAGAAGAAGAAGAAGAAGAAGAAGACGCATAAAAAAAAGAATTAAAGATAGGTTGTTACCTGTAAATGAGATTTAACATGTGCCAATGTGAGATCTTTGACATCCATAAGCTCAAGAACTGACTTTGGTGTAGCCCCTAATCATAATTAAATAAAAACCAACTTCATCAATAAATTAGCAGAACATTATTAATCTAACACAAAAACAAAAGAAGCAAGAAAATGAAAAGAATTAGAAGTGAGTGAGAGAGTGAGTGCTCAGTACTGACTTTCATGGCCACCCAAAAGCTCAACGGCGTGAACAAAGCGGGCGTGAAGAGTAGTAGTCCAACGCATCCGAGGGGCTCTTATGCTCCGTTTGGCCGGAAAGCGAGAGAAAATCCGGGATCTTAGAAGACCGCCATGATGACCTTGATGATGATGATGAGCAGCTGCCTGAAATAGTGGGGTTGAACTAGTAATTGTAGAGGTGGAGGTTGCGGTATTATTGTCGAAATTAACTGGCTTTTGTGAAGAAGAAAATGGGAAGAAATTATTAGGGGGAGGAGGAGGAGGGTTTTGGTACAGTGGAATTCCTCTAATGGGTCTCAAAAACCCAAGCAGCTCATCCGATTGCTGTAATTCTTGTTGCACATCTGCTTGGGGAGCTTGGGGAAAGTAGTGGCTTTGCTGAAACTGAAAGGGATGGAAAAGATTGCCATTAACACCATTACAGCTAGTACCGGCTGTAATATTATTGTAGTGTTGAGGACGATGATTGGTATTCGAAAGCTCGTCAGAGGTGGAGTTTCGGGAGTCCAAGGCTCTCCTCCAAAACCCCAAATCCACCCCCTCCTGATGACGTTTATGACTGCTTCTCCTCCAACTAGTTGATGAGGAGGAGGATGAGGGTTTGCTGTTTGGAGGGCTAATTTGTAGAGATAAGTCCGGTTGTGCAGGGAACAGCTCCATCAACCCACCTCCCTCTCTTAATCTCCTTCTCCTAAACCCTATACAGATATATCTAGCTACTTTACAATTCCCTCCTGTATATTTATGAGCACTTTCTTCTTCCTTGTGCTGAGAAATAACTCTGTGTGTTTGTATATATGTATTGTGTGAGCTAGGTAGATAGCTTCCTTGGTGATCTGATTAGGGTTAGAGATTTTCAGGTGTTGGAGAGATTTCTGGGTATTTTGTGTAGATGGGGTTTGATCAATTTGTGTGTGGGGGTAGTTGCAGAGAGCTTTCAGATTGAGATGAGAGAGGGAGAGAGAGAGAGAGAGAGAGAGAGAAATGACAAGGTATGAAGTGAATGGTTTGTGTGAAGTATATGTGAGAAAATGACACTTGAGGGGGGCTCTATAGAAAGAGAAATTAAGAGAGAGAAACAAGGGAAGGTGTTTGTTTCTTTTGTGGACGTGGGGGTAGGGTACCACTACTAGCTAGGGTAAGAAAGCAATATAAAGATGAACAGTAAATAAAGTATGACACATTTTTTCTTTCTAATCACTTGATTCCTTCTTTATTTTTGAAAAAAAAGGGGTAATTAAGTAGTAATATTTATTTAATATTTGTTCAATTAAATTTTACACGGATTTGTGGTATTTTGTATAACTATATATGAAAGTACTGTGATGCCTTTTCTTTAGAGGAGAAAGGAAAAAGAAAGCCCAAAAAGAGAATTTGAGTGTAAATGAACTTTAACGTGTGCATATGCCCCTCTTCAAGACTTCAACAACTCATGTTTGTAAAACTTTTTCTACCCCCCACACGTAAACAGAGTCTTTGAACAGAAACCTTTGGTTTGTTTGTGCTCCTTTTTATAAACCCTAAGACCAACAAACCCCTTGGTTTGTTTATGATTGAACACTAATTTCCACGGTCTAGGGTTTAGAATAATTGTCTCTAATTTTCTCAATTAATGTCTTTTATACCTTCTAATAATTTTTCTTTCATGGTCGGTAACAGTCATAAAACTCTAGAGTTCGATCTTCATACAAGGATGTAATGGATCTTTGCAGAGTTAGATCTTGCATAAAACACATACAAACTGAGTGTAAATACCATTGTAGCTGGACTTTTCAATTAATTTCTATGGTACGTATTTGTCATATCCTGGCCCGGGGCGAATCACTTCCCGGGCCCGCTCCACCACCGTAACACGATATTGTCCGCTTTGGGCTTACCATTCCCTCACGGTTTTGTTTTTGGGAACTCATGAGCAACTTCCCAGTGGGTCACCCATCATGGGATTGCTCTAGCCCCCTTCTCGCTTAACTTCGGAGTTCCTATGGAATCCGAAGCCAGTGAGCTCCCAAAAGGCCTCGTGCTAGGTAGGGATGGGAATATACATATAAGGATCACTCCCCTGGGCGATGTGGGATGTCACAATCCACCCCCCTCAGGGGCCCGACATCCTCCTCGGCACACCACGGCCAGGGTTAGGCTCTGATACCAATTGTCACATCCTGGCCCGGGGCGGATCACTTCCCGGGCCCGCTCCACCACCGTAGCACGATATTGTCCGCTTTGGGCTTACCATTCCCTCACGGTTTTGTTTTTGGGAACTCACAAGCAACTTCCCAGTGGGTCACCCATCATGGGATTGCTCTAGCCCCCTTCTCGCTTAATTTCGGAGTTCCTACGGAATCCAAAGCCAGTGAGCTCCCAAAAGGCCTCATGCTAGGTAGGGATGAGAATATACATATAAGGATCACTCCCCTGGGCGATGTGGGATGTCATAGTATTAGTACCACTGAGTAGCCCGAAAAATTTGATACGAAGTAGTCTAAAAAATTAACAATTAGATGTAAGGATCTAATGGATTCTAACTTCGCTTATAATAGATTGACATGTGTGCAATAATTTGTTTTGTTTTGTTTTTTATGAATTATTTTTGTATACACATGTTGACTTTGATTGACACAAATGTAGGAATATGTCTTTTAGTCTTCTTTTAAATGTCTTTCAGTTTTTCTTTTAAATGATGTGTATAATTGAAAGTGCTTTTAAAATAACTAAAATTTCTTTTAAATCACCAAAAGCACTTCTGATAATGTTTGACAGAAATGTTCAAAGTTCTGTTCGATTAAAAAAAAACTCGAAGGGTTTTTCAAAAAAAAAAAAAAATCAGCTATGTACTTCTTTTAATTAAGAAACGTTTTTAGCACTTATGAACAACTAACATTCTTATTAAAAATTTAGACGTGTCATATAAAAATGCTTTTAAATAAGTTCTTTCTAGAGAATAATTTTCACAAAGACCCCAAAATGTGGAGAGAAATTAAATGAAGGTACCATGCTTGTGGCGGTTAGTTGTAAGGATGGTCCTTCCAAATGTGTGAGGGTAGTGGGAAAGTCAAATTTACCAATCTACAGGCTAGTTAGGGGTTGATGTGTTTTTTCTTAAAAAAATTGCTTCTATTGTGCTTTAGAAATAATCAACAGTAAAATAAAGCAATTGAGTGTTTGATAAAATGTATTTTTAAAAATGTTGTGAGTATGAAAAGCAATGTAAAAACGTTTGATAAATTTTCAATGTAAAATGATATAATTGTATATAATGACAAAAATAGACATAGTAGTGGGGGTGGTGGCAACGAGCGGTGGAAATGGCGATGATGGCAGCGACAATAGTGGGGGTGTGGTAATGGTTCCAAAAGTATGGTGTGGTCGTTGGAGTGTACATGTAGCATGGTGGTAGCGGTAGGGTGGTGGTTGCAGCGTTGTTGGATGTGGTAGGCGATAATGGTGTAATGCTGGTGGTTGTAGTTGTAGGTAGTAGCGACGACAATGGTGGCCATGACAATGGCAATAACAGTAGCGGCGGCGGTGGGGCTAGTGATGGTGATGGTGATGGCAGCAACAATAGTAAGGGTATGGTGGTGGTGCCAATAGTGGGGTGTGGTGGTTGGGATGGCAGTGGTGGTGAGTGTGATGGTGGCAATGTCGGTGATAGTTATGGCGACAGTAATGACAACATGGTGGTGGTAATGGCAGTTGTGGTGCTAGTGGTGGCAATTTGGTTTTAGTGGTGGTAGTGATGGTGGTAGTGGTGGTAATGGTGGTGGTGACGAACATGACAGTGGCGGTAGTGGCAACGATGGTGATGGTAATGGTAGTGGTAATGTAAGATTAGTAATGATAAGTTGTGATGGTCACTTTATTTTCCAAGGGTAAAATGTACGTAGAAGGATAAATAAAGCCATTTTCAAAATTAATGAAGGTATTTCATAAATTAAAAATATTCATTTAAAGACTCAACTCTGCTTTTTATAATTTTATAATAAAGAGCTTTTAAAAGTAACATGCATGTTGTATTTAAAAGTTGATGTCGGAAGACCATTGCTTTAAAAATAAGTATAATATTTTATTTTTACCAAACACTTTTTATTGCTTAACTTTAAGTGAAGTAATTTTTTTTATGAAAAAAGCAAAACCAAACGAGACCTACATCTACATAATGTAAGAACAATGGCACGTAATAGGGGTAATCATGTCTTTTCAGGAACTAAAAACTGCCTTGCACTATGGTCACCAACCACGTGTAGCAAACAGAAAATGTTAGGCTGGGTTGAAGAACAATGGTCAATTTTTTTACAAGAACATATACCACACCTTGCGATTTGTCCTGTGACATTCTGTGACACCATACAACAGGGCATGTCTGGCGTACAAAGTTTAATTACCACAATGTGCCAACGGTTATCTTTTCTTCCAATTACAATTAGAGACAAAATCTAGGGGATATGAATTGAAACTTGACTTCCAAAGATATATTTCACTACAAATTGAATGAAATCTTGATTAAAAGAATGTTACACAAATTAGGGATCTTGTGGTAAATTGCTGAACGGATGGGCTACCAATGTATATTAAATAGGACAATGTGCTTCGAAAGTACAAATGCCTGGCGATTTGAAAAGAAAATTCCGACGGCTGCCAAAAAAAAAAAAGATTTCGGTGACAATTTTTCTAGCACCAATGACGATGGTCCGTGACAATTCCTAGCGACATTGGCCTATGGGGCCAAAAATTCAAATGGTGAAAAGCAATTTCCAGCATTGCCACTTGAAGATCATCTCTAGAATTTTTTTTATTTTTGTCAAAACCATCTCTAGAATCTTTGAGCAGAGTAATTCTTTATCAAGTTATATTTTGTGGGAACCGCTTAAATATGAGATGCATCATGGTGATCTAAGATATTCACATGTGATTTGACATCATTCAAAACATATAAATCTTGTAAGAAACGTTGCAATTAAGGTTCGAGAATTTATTATGACTATATCACGTATACTTCGATATCAAATTACTCACTACACCATTCGTCGTTGGTGTATTAGTTTGAATACTCCTAGAGGCTCAACATTAGTGGAGTTCAAGAACATTGTCCTATTCTTGAAGAAGGTGAATACAAACTCAAGGATAATCCTACAAAGCGGTATTGCAAGGCTAAAATTTCTTGTAAGTATAATTCATTCGCCTATTGTTTTTGTTTGGTTATCGATTTACAACGAACCATTTATGTAAATGAGATTATATCATTCTTATTTATTTATTTACACTACGTAATTAATTATTGGAATTAGTTAATCTCAATTACATGTCCGGAAACCTAATTTATTTCTTTTAGGATTGTAAATATTTGTTGGGTCGGACATTTTTATCCTTTCAACTATTAAAATAGTATGACTTTTCAGCTAGTAACTCAACTAAAAATATAGTATTTTTTCATATAGTACTACGATCTAACTATATTCTTCTGCACTTGTAATTAATAGATCTTAGAAACTTGGTTCTCCCGCCTCTTCTTAGTTTAATATTTTCTGTTTTCCATTCTTTTTCTTGTTCTCCTCTTTTACTCTAATTCTTACTTTTCTAGATGAGAAAGTAGGAAATGTTCTATCAAATGAACCGTATTTGGTCGCAAGTGGTAGATTACCTTGGTGGATAGGTCTTCCTCTTTAACCCACCGCATTTTAAGTCTAAACGCTCTTCCCTCCCCTTAGTTTAGTATTTAGAGTAGAAATATCTTTTGTTATAAAATCTATACAAATAAACGATTTGTATTTTATGTGGTAAAAGATTTTTAACTTTTTTTTTTTTTTTTGTTGATAAAATGTGGTTAAAAG